CACTGGATTTATGTCTGTACCTGAAGCCAGTAGTCATTAAGCCATGATAGATGGCTTTTTTGCTGCTATTGAATGACATGCATGCTGTTGTTAACATCTGCTATTGTGACGGCATTAACGTGTCACCTTGACCCGGGTTAACAGCGTCTCTCTGCCTTATTGGTCACTGATATATGGTTCATGCCAGCGTAACTGGGTCCTTCACACCCGTGTGTTTTCTGTTCGGTCTGATGTGTGTGCTGTCCTGCGGGCGGCATCCTGCTGCCACTGACACACACAGCTCATGTGAGAGGAACATGGCTTTGTGTTTGTACACACATGAACATTGGCATTTCTCACTGTGGCTGAACATTACTGCACACGCATACAGTAAACGGCAGTGCTAATTGTTTGTGCATTGGTTGTGATTCCTTTAAAGAAAACTGATGATTTAGCTAGATTTAGAGGCTTAAGTGATACGAGTTGGAGCATATTGGAGTTTATGGCTATATTTGAGCATTTTTGTTGTAAATAGCTTTTGTTAAATAATCACTGATTCATATATATATGAAGAGTTCAGATGCAAAAGCCTCTAAATCCCATTTGAAATTTTCTTCTTTAATGATGATTTTTATCAAACTTGTATATTTAAGTTCAGTGATTTCACTTAAATGGCAATGATAATTACCTATTAATTGTTATTTAAGTGAAATTACTGAACTTAAATATACAAGTTTGATAAAAATAATCATTAAAGAAGAAAATTTCAAATGGCATTTAGAGGCTTTTGCATCTGAACTCTTCATATATATATATATACACACACACAAATTGCAATATTATTTATATTTAAGATTTTATAATTGTATTTGGAATAGATTTGATATCATTTTGAGCATGTTGCTCCTATAGACGTACAGTATAGTACAGTATAGGGTTGGCAGGGAGCAGTGTGGGAGACAGCGAGAGGGCGATGGAATCGGAAAGCTATATGTCGGACTGGAGCGGCGCCCACGCGGCTAATGATTCAGACAGATTTTTTTTAAACATGGTATTACTATTTTTTTTTACATGCATCAATTCACATTTTTTCTGTAATTTACAAGTATAGGTCACTAGGGCCAAATAGAAAGACAAAATAGTATTTTCAATCAGGTTTCAATTCCATCAACACACACTTAGTCATTGAAACTCACACTATTGGTTTGGTCTCAAACAAACATGTCAGTGTTTTGGAAACGCCACATTGTTTACACTCTTCCGGAAATCAGTCTACTTAGTTTTATTATTTAAATATAAAATATAGTGGACACCTTTTTCTGATTTAGCTAATTGTCTGACCTAAAGTGCCTTACAGTATAGTATGTATTATCTTTTGCAACTTAAAACCGTCCAGTTACCAGACTAGCTAATTAACCACTAGGCCACATCACCCCCTGGGTAAAGGTGGGTAAAGACGGGGTTCACACTGTACGATTTTACCCATGATTTAGCCATCTGAGACTAGTTTTGAGAATCCTGAAAGATTACCAAAATCTTTTTGACTTTTTCACCGACAGCCGATTAATGACCATTGTGATCAAACTTTCCCCCTGATGAAGATTTGCCTGTGTGCGAAGGTTTGAGGCTCAGTCCTGCAGTGTGACTTCTCCTGCACCATACTGTACGTCAACGCAGAGACCAATAGGAGCAGAGACCAAACCCTCGCTGGAGACTGCTTTTGCTTCCGGGCCACCATTTCTATCCCGCATGTAAACGCTGCTCGCGTCACAGACTGATGATGTAAAACTCCAGACGAGTCTTCATTTGTGTCAGCAAAAACGAATTAACCCTTGTGCATCCTTATGGACATTTTTGTCCTTTTCAGTTTTGTTTTTTTGATCACTTTGCCTGTGTTAAAGCTAACTGCAAAAAACTTGGCACAGGTGTGTATTTTTATTGGAATTTTACTATTTCACCGTCATTTTCTTAAAAAAATATGTTTTGCATTAGGTACAAAAAATACTCCCCCTCAGCGCCTTTTGGACAAAAATGTCCCCATTGAAACCCATTAAAACTGCCATTTTTAATCCCCGGTTCAGTTAACTATAAAATTATGCAATCTTTGTTAAGAGGCTTTCATTCTGATGGCAAGGCTTCAAAATTTTATTTTTTACTATTTTTTATCAGATGTTGCCATTTTTTTTAAGTTTGGCCAATAAAACAAATATCGCTTTATTCCTGTTTTCTACTTCGGCATACTACAGAGCCAACTGGATAAATTATGCAACAATATTTGTGTGGGTGTGTTGGTATGGATGTCAGAGTGTGGTTAGTATGTGTGTTATAAAAAAAAAATATGTGTGTGTGTGCGCATGTGTGTGTTTGTAATACTGAGAGAGAAAAACTGCAAATTCCAATCCAATCACTGTGAGCACCAGTGAGGTTTTGCTGGCACCCAATGGGGAAAATATGTTACTACGCCCAAACAAACTGTTACCGAAAGCTCATTTTTTGAGATATCATCCTCAAATTTGGAACACAACCTATTTAGATTTATGGCTTTGATTTTTTGCAGTTTTGAGTTCAACCTGATTTAAAAATATATATATTTTATATAAAATATTTTTTTATAAATAATTTTCATAAACTTATACCTATATAACTTTTTTTTGGATTTACTTATTATTATTTTTTTACTTCAGCAATAATCTGCAAAGGGTCTTCTTTAAAATGATACCAAACTTAAGTCTGTGCTCCAAAGCGCCACGTTTTTATGACAGTTTTTTGGCATGGACATTTTTGTCCTCTTTTTACCTATGTGTAACTTTTTTAAATTGATGCACAAGGGTTAACTATTGAGCACACTCCATTTAGAAAGATAAATATGAATATTAAATAAATTAAAACAATGGCTGGAATGTAGCTAAAGTATTTGTCGGTGAAGTTCAGATTCAGATTTTTTTAGGTAATTATTCAAGTCAACTGTCAAAAAGAACAAAGAAATTAATTCTTACGCAGTGAGTGTTCTCGGTTTCCTGCAAGTATTATTATTTGATTAATGTTAGATATATCTAATGCAAACATTTTATATTCTAGACTAGTAATAGGCATTTGTGTTTACATAGTATATGTGTGTACTGTGTGTATAATTATTGTTTTTTTTCTTCATAATTTGCATTTATATGTAATTATTTTATATATAAATTACACATTTTTCTTAAATATATACATGCATCAGAGTTTCCGCTAGAAAAAAATGGTGCTGGTCAAAGTGAACAGCAGTGTTCTCGTTTTACGGACATTTTGATGATATGCCGGTCAAATATCGCATATTAATTAGTCAAGTTGCAACATATATGGCTTCTAACATATCGCATCTTTTCACGCTCAAGTTCGTTATTTAAAATGTAGATGCGCGCGGTATGCGTGTTTATAATGGAAACGACGCAGTCACGGTGCAACCAGGATGCGACGCGTTCATTTTTCCAAGCGCATCCCGCGTCGTATCGATAAACATTTCGGTGTGGATTGAGATAGAGGTGCTACTGTTATTTAACGGAAAAAAAATTGCCAGTTTTTTGGAAGTTTCGTTCAGACGGATTCAGTGTTATCTCTTATTTTTTAGTTATTTAAGTAAAAAAATATATATTTAGTGTTGGCCAATTTTATGTTTTTTTTATTTGTATTATTTTACTCTGTTTTTCTCTGTTGTCACTGTCAGAAATGCTGCAAGAGCGTGAAAATTTGATCTGAATCCAGATCGATAAGAGGAGCGATGTCCACAGACTCGATGCTTGTAAAATGGCAAATAATCCTTCTGACCGGTCGGTGTGTTTTTGCTTTATACATTTTAGGCTCAGATTCAGATTGTGTTAGGGGGGTGGGATTATTAGGACATTTTAATTGGACAATTTGACCAAAGAGATTTAATTTTGTCAGACATTTAATTTTTTTCCCGGGCAATGTCCGGTAATTACCGCACAACAGAAACCCTGATATACATGTGTGTATTTACTGTATACAAAATAATTATACATAGTGCTCACACTTATATTATGTAAACACTGCATTATAGTCATTATATTATGACTGCCCAGCATTAATTGTGACCCTTTGGATGATTTACAACACTGAACTGGTTTGGCATTGAAACCTCGCCACGAGTCCACGACAGGCATGTTGGGCCAGAAGTGCATTTGACCATTCACATCAGTGTTCACGATCACGTGTGCCTATATGTATACCTATATGCGTTCAAAAGCAGCCGTCTGTCAGTCAGAAAGCACAGACTGGATTCATGACTATAGTTTTTCTGCACCAGTACGTCCCAGTACTACAAAGGACCACAGACATACGGTCATGGGTATCATGTGTGGTCTCTCAGCTTCATGTAACATCAGTGTTTTGAGAGATCAGCCGTTTGAGTGTCTTCTCTGGGTCACATCAGTGTTACGGGGAGGTTGCTCATGTGAAATGTGTATCAGATGACAGTCTGTCTATTGTATCTCGCATGCTCATGAATGTGGCGAAGCCCTTTTGGTCATTTGAGACCTGCACCGGGTGTGTGGCATGGTTCTCAATGTGTGCGTGTGGTCTGTGACTTAATATTCATGCTAACAAATGAGATATCTGCAGCATTTTGAGGTTTAGCTTGACCTTTTCGCTCATACTTCACGCAGGAGTCTGGGTGTGCATTTGCATAAATACTGCAAATGAATTGTGTGACATTTTCCCAATGAAATGAATTTCACTGATGGCACTGCATGAGAAAGATCCATTAGTGTCCAGAGGAGACAGTGTTTCATTATAACCGATTCTACAGTGACTGACTTCATAATAACTCAGTGAGATGGTATATTAAATTAAAGACCACACGCCTAGTTACAGTTACACAGATCACACATAACATGGAGCAGATCTCACATGTGAAGAACAGTTATTTCAGGAGGTTAAATGAATATCTTCTACTTCAGGTGAATAGGAATTATATTAAAATGTACCATACTAAGTTTTTTTCTTTTCTTGTTTTTTCCATGCAGGTGTTGTATAACTCCATCAAGAATGAGAAGCTGGAATGGGCCGTGTAAGTACTTACACATTCACCACCACCATTCATGTCTTTTAAAAAGAGTTAACAGAAAATTGTGGAGAAAAAGCAATAAATTGTGCTTTATAAGATGTGCTATATGGGTTCTAGCTGGGATTCCCATGAGCACATGCAATATTCACTGGCCCGCAGATCCTCCGCCAGCACCTTTCTAAAGCCTCAAGGCCTTACAAGGGGTGAAAGAAATGAGTGGTTTTATTTTTATCTCCATCATCGCTGGCTTTGGTGCCCGCAGCACACCAATACACATCAAATACATGCTCCAATTAAGGCCCGAGTGTGTGATGGTGTGCTTTTCAGTCAAATGATTAGATTGGTGGCATTTGAGACATGAGCTGTAATTATGATCTTGAAAACATGACATTAGACTGACAGTGTGCCTCACTGATAACAGTCATAGAGCGAGACATCGTCCCATTGTGCCCAATCACAGCCAGACCTCGCCAACTCTCTGCTCTAACCTAGGGCTGTGCGATTATTGATTAACCTCTCTCAATATTTTCTGGGATTTTATCGATAACGATAATTAGATGATATTTTGGTACCTTGACAGGTTTGGGACTGCCATTTTTAACCTAATTATATGCATGCATCATCTTTTGGGTCAATTTAATAAATTAAGTCAAATTCAATTATAATAATAAGACACAATGGGGCTGTTACCAATCAAATAAATTTAAGTTTGAAGAGAATTCATCTTTGCCTTGCAGAGAGAACACAGAGGCTGCCGTTTTCATTGCATTTGAAGTGGCATTTAGATGAGTGTTTAATGAAGCTCAGAGGTGACAAATGATTCATTCAAATGGCTGATTCATTCAGTAATGAAGCATTTGACTGAAGCATTTGTCTTAATCCATTTTAGTCATTGATTCAACGGATTTGTTCAAAATGCTGATTCCTTCAGTAAGGACACGCCTGTGTGTTGCTCAGAGACGCAATTACAGTGCTGTGGTTTTGTTTTGGAAAATATTTTTTGGCGAAATCGAGCAAAAACAGGCAATATGGCATATATTAAGTCACTTTATATTAACTTCTTGTTTATTAATCTTCAAATCTAAAATCAATATCACATTTATCATGCTGAAAACTGCACTCTTTGTGTGATATATATATATAAACTATATTTAATGATATAAATATTGTGTAAATTAGTCTAAATGTGCATCCGCACTAGTCCAATCTACAAGACTACATCACATAGTTAATGCATGCGCTCTCTGGGTGTGTGTGAGGGATATACTGGATAATGTCAGATCGCACTTCATTAAAACAACAATTACGATATCGCAGACGATATACATCACACACCTACTCCAACCACAAACCAGAGCTCGCTCTGCCTGAGCCGGAGGAAACGATTCGAACCTTCAAACCCATCTCTGTTGCTGAAACATGGAGTGTACTGCAGTTATTTGCAGATTAAATATTACGTGATATCACGTTTGAATATATTGTTTATTAAAGCAATACGCCCTAAAAACCATTGTACCAAGAAACCAAAACATTAAACATTAAAATGTACTGTTTTTAACGTATAACACAAGATATGAATACAAAACATATACATATGATTGTGTAGACAAAAATGATTCAGTATTGAATCTGGAATGTTTCTTTAAATCAACTTTGCCGCCAAGCAGCGTTTAGCTGAGTGGTTGCTAAACAACACCCCGACCACAGTGGTGGAGTAACACTGAATTAATGAGGGCGCGGGTCTGTGTTTATAGAGGATTTTACAAAAGCTATAAACATAGAATATTTTGCAAAGAGGGAATTTGGTTAGAAATAAAACTGTTTCAATGCCTCAAGCCTTGAATTTAAATTTTTAGATGAACCCTTGCTATTTGTTGAAGATTTAAAAAATGTAGAGATTTTAAAATTAGGCACATTTTTCATTTTGTTCATTTGTTCATTTTGTTCAACTCACACTTTTGAAACTTGTTTGGTCCACATTCAGTTTTTACTGGGATTCTTTGGATCTTTGCTTAAAAAAAATAAAATAAAAAAATTGTCCAGTATGCACAAATTTGGCTAAAAGGTTCTTTAGTGCAAACCCCACAAAAGGTACAGTCTGTATTTTATTTATTTATTCAAAATTATTGCTCTCAGCAATGCCCTCATGAACAGGAGATGAGACATATTGAAATGGTACTTAGTAAATGTTATTGCCATCTTACCCTGAATGTATCTGAGCAGCCAGGGCACAACACCACCTACTGCCCCAGAAACTCAGTGAAGATGGTTAACACATGAGTGATTACACTAGGCACATCAAGTTGTGAGAGTGGTCTCTTTAGATTTCTATGGCCCAAGTTAATTCACTAATAATAAATAAATATTCACTAATAATAAATAAATCGACTGAAGACAAGTGCTGCTGTGTCTTAGCAATTCTTTTACAATATTTTCACCACAATAGTGCTTTCTATGGTAGATTTTTTTTCTTTTGCACCTTACTTGAATTTACTTATAGACCATTTCACAAGATGTAAACAACACTGGTCCAGAAGCACTTCCTGTTTCAGTTTTTTAACACTGCATAAAAGCTGGGATAAAATACAACCAACAGAACATTTAAAACTGAATCAAAAAGTTAAACAAACATCTTTAAGATGTTTTCTTTACATGTGAAATAAAGAAAACAGTTACAAACTGAAACAGGAAGTGTTTCTGGACCAGTGTTGTTTACATCTTGTGAAATGGTCTATAGTCGACACCCTAGCGTCTACAGTCGACACTTGTAAATAAATTATACTCGGGTGAATTCACCCAGGCTTTAATCACGGCCGGAGGATCTCAGACCAGTTTCAGAGACAATCCCACCAGCAAAAACAATTCAATAGTTTTTAAGGAACAGGAGCATGACAAAGGTGACATGATTCATTACATAATTTTCCTACAATGTGATTGGTTCTTATTCAGCAAACACTACTGTTTCTAGGGAAAAGCTTTGTTATTCAAAGTGATGAGTTTATAAATTCAGATATCTGTCTGGTTTCATTTTACCTTTTATTATATTCGGACATGATTCAGTCACACTGACTGCCTTTGACCAAATTGTTTGGAAACATTTCAGGTTTCAAAAGCATATAATTGTTAATCCTGCAATAAAAATAAATGTTAGTAATAATGAATTACAGTGGCGGCTGGTGAAAATTATTGTTGGGGGGGGGCTGAATAAGAGGGTGGTCTGGTGGTTCTCCCCCAGAAAATTTTGAATTTAGTAGATGTGATTTCCTGCATTCTGGTGCATTTTAGGCCTTAGGCCATGCCCTTACCTATACCAATAAAATAACTTAAACCAGTCAATACCAATGGTCAAATAATACAATAATAATAATAACAGTTTGACAGTTAATGATAATGAACAAGTTGCATGTTTATTATGCTCTGTGTGCTGACAGAAAAAGTGCAAACGCATAATATTGATAAATTAAAATATAGGTAATACAAAAAATAATAGGTAATACAACAATCTAGTTTAATCAATCCCCAGCTGTAGACTACATATTTTTGACAAATTGACAATTGGTTAATGGATAACAATGTGTTGATACTAGAGAAAGAGAGAGAGAAAAGGCTCTGAAAGAGAGGGTGGGACAACATTCTTGATTGTAACACCCAAGTATGAGAAGAAAGTTGATTTTAACTAGTATGAAACACAGTAATCTAGCTCAGAACTTAAAAACATCAAAAAACAAAGCAAACACACAGGTATTAATATTCCTATAACTATTTTAATATCAAATGTGTGTGAAACAGTGTTTATGTGTGTGTGAGTGAGTGAGTGACAGAGACAGACAGCTCAATTCCCACAACTAACTTTACATTATTTCCACTCGACGTCACTGGCGCTGCCATTCTGCTCTCATCTGAGGTAAAAAAAATGTCCCGTGGTGCGCGTGCACGGTGCACTCCCCTAATCTGATACTGTGGGCGATATTTTCAGCGCCCCCAAACCATAAAATTTGACGGCACTGATTGGCGAAATATAAACTTTTTTGCATAGCAACCGGGGAACTATTGGCTTAAATTCCAGCACTGTGGGGCTGAGCGAACTGGCGCCCTGAGAAGACAGCCTATTGGCTATACTACTACACCAACATGATAAAAGTAACGAAAGTGAATGCAAATATCATTCTGGTGAGTTCAAAACACTTTTCAAAGTAAAACCATTATTAGCATATAATTAACAGATTATTTTTCAAAATGATAAATTATAATATATATTAAAAAAACAGACAGACAGGTCGGAGGGAGGGCGGCGCCCCAGCGCCCTCTATGGGCGAGCCGCCCCTGATGAATTAATTAGGAAACGCAGTCACACACCTGCAGGTTATAGGTGGGAAAAAAAGACCAAGTAGGTCAAAAAATCAACAACAACAATAAAAAACAACGAACTCCTGCACACTATCAGTACTTGCAAATGAGTTTCAAAATTGTATTAGAAATGTTTCGGTCTCACGACCTCCATCAGGCATATACAAATATTCAAAATCATTCCCATTTAAAATAATCACATGAAAAATCAATGCACAGATCCATTTGCAACCAATTAGGCTCAATGACTGAATACATAATTAACACCATATCATCATAAACAGGTGCAAACATAATAATGAAGAAAAAGTAATAATTAATTGAAAAATCCACCACACTTCTTAGAACCGGCAGACAGTGTTGGTAACATTACAAGTAACAAGTTATGTAACCACATTACTTTTTTTCAACTAATAATGGACATTTTTTAAAACTTTAAAAATGTACAAAAAAAAAATCTGTTATGCATACAAGAAAGACAAGTGACTTTGTCTCTCATGTATTGACTGACAGCTCTATTGTCCCCATGTTGGGAGAATCGTAAGTGCAGAGGCGTGTATGTGAAAACATGATGAGTATTGTAGTTCTAGACTAAATGTGAACATCAGTTTACTCATCTCACTTGTGTTCCTCAAAACAAAAGGAATTAAAACCTG